GGCAGTGACTTGACCTTTCTGTGCCTCAGTGTAAAAACATCGTTAGGAGTGCCAGAAATGGAAACCTCCCTCCAGGTGCTCAGCCGAGCTCCTGGCACAGGGTCAGTAGGTGTTGACCATTATTACTAAGAGGTCCCTAGGCAGAGACTGGATGCCTCTGAAAAGGTGGGGTCCTTCAGACAAGGTAGACATCGGGCAAGGCCTCTGCATCCTCTGACGTCGTCCCCCTCACCCACCCCTAGATGACTTCCGGATCTTCTGTGGGGATCTGGGCAATGAGGTGAACGATGACATCTTGGCACGCGCCTTCAGCCGCTTCCCATCCTTCCTTAAGGCCAAGGTGATCCGTGACAAGCGCACAGGCAAGACCAAGGGCTACGGCTTCGTCAGCTTCAAGGACCCCAGTGACTACGTGCGCGCCATGCGTGAGATGAATGGTGGGTGAGGCTGCTCCTGGGGAAATTGGGTGCGGCAGGCACTGGCCTAAGCCTGACCCAAGCCTGCCTTGAACCCTCTGTCCCCACAGGGAAGTATGTGGGCTCACGCCCCATCAAGCTTCGCAAGAGCATGTGGAAGGACCGGAACCTGGACGTGGTCCGCAAGAAGCAGAAGGAAAAGAAGAAGCTAGGCCTGAGATAGGGTCTGTGGCTGGGCACCCGCTCCCACCTGGCCGGGCGCTAGCTCCTTCCTCAGTTTTCTTTGGAAACCCCCCTGCTATCCACCCACTTCCCACCCCAAAACCAGTTTCAATAAATTTACGTTCATTTCCACCCCTGGCTGGGTGTGGAAGCACGCTGTGGGGAGCAGGGTTTGGCTTCCCCATACCTGGAAGTGGCAGGGAGCCTGGAGAGTTTACCCAGGTGGACACTTCTGAGCCCTTCCTGCGCTCCCATTCCCTCTTCAAACCTCTTCCACACATGCTGAGTACCGAGTATTCCAGAGGAGAACGGGGGCGGATGGCAAGGGTGAAAACAAGCTGAGGCCCAGACCTGTGTCCTGGCTACTCCCTATGTTCTCAGCACCAAGGTAGGGGATCTTCCTAGGCCCTACCCTTCTGGAACTCACAGCCTTCTCTGCCCTCTTCCATCTAGCAGACTCTCACCGAAGGTCTGGACAGTGATTGGTGACATGATGGTGACTGAAAGTCCTGGGCCCTCCACCCTTAGAGTTCAAGGTCCAGTGGCAGAAAATAGGCCCAGTGCCCTGACAGTGAGGGCCCAGAGTGGTCAGGACAGGATGGGGGCGCCAGGGTGCTGACCTGTGAGTGAGGGGACCCTGAAGGAACTGTCCACCCCTAAGTCTCTTGTGGGGCTTTCCAGCTTCTCCACCCTGCCATGCCAGCCAGCTAACTGCACCCTAAGTCTCAGTGGGCACCTTTGTATCTCACTGTCTCTGTGCATGCCCTCCATTTCTTGTCCCTAAGCTTCTGTATCCCTGTCAGTCTCTGTTCTCTCCCTCGGAGCTGGGAAATAGGAGAGACCCACAGATGGAGAGAGAGAACAGAGACTTGGGATCTGTCCCCCTTTTCCCAGCTCCAAGCTTGCCTCTGCCTGTCTGAAGAGGTGTCTGCAGGGCCTTGAATGCCAGGCTGTAGAGCTTAAACTTTACCCTGAAGGTGGCAGCTAGCCCCAAAAAGCAGAAAATTCAAGCAGCAGCAAGGTCCTGGCAGCAGATGTGCACTGTAGAAAGAGCCCTGCAACCACCACTGTGGCTGGAGGTCTGGAAGGAGGCTGGGGCAGGGAGCAGGCCAGAGGAGGGAGATGGCAGGGTTTGAGTATGGGGAGGAGAGAAGGGTCTCCCAGGGACACAGTCATCAGAGCCCTCCATTAGGAGGGGCAGGTTGAGCAAGACTGGGGCATAAGTTGAATGGATAATACCAAGGCCTCTCAGGGACTGAGATCCCCCTGGAGAGGTGTCGAATTTCTCCTGTTCTTGTCTTCCCGCCTTACTGCCTCCTCTCTGACGTCACATTTTCCAGTCTGGTCAGAGAGGGAGGGCCTCTCTCCCTGGCAGGAAGTGCCCTTTACCCCCCTGCCACCTGGGCCAGACCACCCAGCCCAGGATCCTCAAAGCCCCTTCCCCCCATCACTAGCCCTCCCTACCCCTGATCCTGCTTCTGCTTCTCCACCTCCTGGGTTCAAGCATAGGGGAGCAGGAGGAGACGGGAAGAGATGATAACTCCAGAAAGGAGGCTTCCAAATGCATGTGATTGTCAGTTCCGAGTGGAGCAGAACAGTGGGTACAGGTGGACACACAGAGTAGAGTAACAGGCACTGGAGACTCCGAAAGTCGGGAGTGAGCATGGGGGGGACTGGACAATTACCAGTTGGGTACATTGCTCATTATTCGGGTACACTATATCTAGTAAGGAATCTACACTAGTACCTGCTCAATGTTTTTTGTTTTGTTTTTTTTTAAGAGACAGGTTTCACCATGTTAGCCAGGCTGGTCTCCAACTCCTGACCTTAGGTGATCCACCTGCTTCAGCCTCCCAAAGTGATGGGATTATAGGTGTGACCCACCATGCCTGGCCTTCTCTCTTTTTGAGACAGAGTTTTGCTCTGTTGCCTGGCCAGAGTGCAGTGGCATGATCTTGGTTCACTGCAATTTCTGCCTCCCAGATTCAAGTGATTCATCTGCCTCAGCCTCCCAAGTAGCTGGGACTACAGGCGTGTTCCACCATGCCTGGCTAATTTTTTGTATTTTGGTAGAGATGGGGTTTTGCCATGTTGGCCAGGATGGTCTCAATCTCCTGACTTCCTGGTCTGCCTGCCTCAGCCTCCCAAAATGGCTGGGAGTCCACTTCCCTTTTTTTTGTTTTTAAATGTACACGAGTCTTCCTGAGGACAGGGAGAGACAGACACAGAGAGAGAGACTGCAGCAGAGACAGAAATGGAGCCGTGAGCAGGAGGCTCAGAGACAGAGAAATGAGAACCATCAGAGACTGCAGTGGGAAGGGAGATGGGGAGAAAACCAAGAGACAGATGGAGACAGACAAGAAGGTGAGATAGGAACACTCGAAGACAGGAACAGATGTCAGAAGAGACTGGGTGACAAAGCCTCAATGGAGTCAGGCCCATGGCAACAGACCCAACTCTAGAGATGCCAATTGAAAAAAGGGCAGAAATACATGGAGAGACACAGATGAGAGGCCAGCTTTAAGGATGGGAGGCCAGGACTCCCTTCAGGCCCCCATGTGGGATGGATAGAGGCACCAGTGATCCTCCAGCTCTGTGGCTTACCCAACACTGCTTCTGTTCCCAGTCCCACTCCCACCTCATGGGACCTTGATAAAGTGACTCCCTCGTGGAGCCCAGTTTACTTTCTGTAAAATGGAAGGAGGAGCAGTGCCCCCCACCAAAACAGCAAGTAGTTAATGATCAAGAAGCTGGGTGAAGATTGGAAGACACCCATATGCAAAAGTTACTTTTAATGGTAAATATTATATACTTATTAAAGTACAGCAGAATGCGCTGGGCGAAATGGCTCATGCTTGTAATTCCAGCACTTAGGGAAGCTAAGGCAAGTGGATAGCCTGAGGCTAGGAGTTTGAGACCAGCCTGGCCAACATGGCAAAACCCCATATCTACTAAAAATACAAAAATTAGGCCAAATATCATGGCTCACGTCTGTAATCCCAGCACTTTGGGAGGCCGAGGCAGGTGGATTACCTGAGGTCAGGAGCTCAAGACCAGCCTGGCCAAGATGGTGAAACCCCGTCTCTACTAAAAATACAAAAAAGTAGCTGGGTGTGGTGGCTTATGCCTGTAATCCCAGCTACTCCAAAGGCTGAGGCAGAAGAATCGCTTGAACCCTGGAGACTGAGGTTGCAGTGAGCCAAGATCGTGCCACTGAACTTCAGCCTAAGCAACAGAGAGATTCCCTCTCAACACACACACACACAGAGAAAACAAAAATTAGCTGGGCATGCTGGTGGGCACATGTAATTCCAGCTACTTGGGAGGCTGAGGCAGGAAAATCACTTGAGCCTGAGAGGCAGAGGTTGCAGTGAGCCAAGATTGTGCCACTGCACCCCAGCCTGGGTGACAGAGTGAGACTCTGTCTCTTTAAAAAAAAATACAGCAGGATGGGCACAGTCTGAAGCCAAGTTACCTGGGTTAAGGGTTGCAGAGTTGGCAAATAAAAATATAGGATACCCAGTTACTGAATTTTACATAAACAATTTTTTTTTTTGAGACGGAGTTTTGCTCTTGTTGCCCAGACTGGAGTGCAATGTGTCAACCTCAGCTCACCGCAATCTTCACCTCCTGGGTTCAAGCAATTCTCCTGCCTCAGCCTCCCAGGTAGATTAGCCACCACCACACCTGGTTAATTTTTTGTATTTTTAGTAGAGACAAGGTTTCACCATGTTGGCCAGGCTGGTCTCAAACTCCTGACCTCAGGTGATCCACCTGCCTCGGCCTCCCAAAGTTTTGGGATTACAGGCATAAGCCACAGCACCCAACTGCAAGTTACAGCCGTTATAACATTTCATCTCTGAGTTCATTTCCTAACGATATCTTTCATCTTGAATACCATTATCACATCTAAGAAAATAATTCTATGATATTTCATATGCAGTTCATACTCCAATTGCCCCAAACTATTATAGCACGGAAGGACATGGGGTCTAGAGAAGAAGGGCAGTGGAAAGATGCCTGCCTTCATTTCCCCGTTCATCAAATGAGAGTATGTATTGTACCTGCCTCATAGGATTCAATGAAGGCACGTGGCATAGTTGGTGTCACACAATGAACCCTCATTTGATGTTGGTTTTTATAGCTACTGTAATTGTTGAAATTGTTGATGTCAATATTGTTATGATTGGCACTCCTGAGAAGCAGCCCCAGGACACCCTCCCTACTCGGCCTGCTGGGAGATTAGGTCGGCCTTCACTCCCACTCCACCCCCTCCCCACACACAGTCACTCTGCCGATTGTGACGTTAGCTGATGCTGGGGGGCGTGGGGGGATCTGGCCGGAAATCCCTCTTCCTGTTGTAGATAAGCCCAGCTCAGCCCAGCTGACCCCAGACTCTCCTCCCTCACTCCCCCATGTCGCAAGATCAAGACCCCGAGGCAGAGAACCTGTTCACCAAGTCCCCCGCCCCGCCCCCATCACCCTGTAAACATCTCCCAGCTCCCGCCCCCTTTCACCTAGCCCGCTGTTCCCCAAGTCCCCGTCCAAGCCCATGCCACCCCTGCAGCAAGGCAGCCCCAGAGGCCAGCGCCCATCCTGGAGTCAGGGGTCGCGGCTCGGCCTCGGCCCCGCCTCTCCGCCTTTGCAACTTGAGCCTAGCTGCGACCCCTGCTCTGACGTCTCGGAAAATTCCCCTTTGCCCAGGCCCTTGGGGGAGGGGGTGCATGGTATGAAATGGGGCTGAGACCCCCGGCTCGGGGCAGAGGAACCCGCCAGAGGTGAGCCATGAACTGAGGACTGGATGCCTGGGTGTCTGGGTTAGGAAGGACCTGGGGGACTAGACTCCCAAGAAGCAGGGGGCCTGGACTCCTGGATCTGAGAGACTGAGAGGGCTGTGGTCCCTCACTCCCAGGACCAGGATTCTAGGCTCCTGGGGAAGGAGGGAGCGGAGGCCTGGACTCCTGGCTCTGAGGGAAGCCAGGGCTGGGGCCCAGACTCCAGAGCCTCCAAGTGTCACCAGCTCACCCATTGCTATGTGGACTTTTCCCAGAACATTCAGAAGGAGCATCCATGGACCTGTGGAACTGGGATGAGGCATCCCCCCAGGAAGTGCCTCCGGGGAACAAGCTGGCAGGGCTGGGTAGGCTGCCGGGGCTGCCACAACGTGTGTGGGGAGGGTGCCCAGGTGGGGCCTCTGCTGACCCTAACCCCTTATCGCCTGCAGAAGGAGCCGAATTCGGCTTCTATGTCCCTGATCTGGCGCTCCAAGGGGACATGCCGACAGCGACAGCAGAGACATACTGGAAAGGTGGCTGCGGGCTGGGACTCCTGAGTGCTGGGAATTCAGAAGCTGGAGGCTGGGCTCCTAGGGCAAAGGGAGGAGGGGGGCGTGCCTAGGCTCCTGGGGCTGGGTGGGGAGGGGCTGAGTGCTTGACCTCCAGAGGGTGAAGGAGAAGGGGACGCGGGGTGCTGAAATAGGGGCTGGGAGGTCATAACTCCCAGTCCCTGACAAGCAGACTAGAGGGTGGGTGGTTAGGGGGTCTCTGTCATTGCTCACGCTCCTCCCTAAACTCAGGTACGAGCTCATCCCTGGCAGGCTTTCCACAGCTGGACTGGGGATCCGCGTTACTGTACCCAGAAGTTCCATGGGGGGAGGGTGAGTGTGGGGAAAGGCGGTGGGAGGAGGGGACTGGGGTTTCGAGGCATTGGGGCTGGAGGTCTAGATTCTTGATCTTTGAGGACTGAGAACACCTGAGCCCTCAAGGTGGCATGGCCTGGATCCGGGACGGCCGGGCCCCAAGTGCCAGGGCTGAGAGCTTAGGCCCCTAGAATTTTTGAGGGGGTACTGGGCTCCCCTCACTCGGGGTCCGTTACTTCTCACAGAACCCGACCCTCGGGCTCTTCCATGGTCGGGGAACTGGACAGATGTGGCGTGCACAGCGTGGGACTCTTGGAGCGGCGTCTCGCAGACCCTGGGCCCCGCCCCTCCCGGCCCGGGCTCCGCCCCCGCCGCCTGCTCTGAAGGCGCCGCGGGCCAGAACTGTGTTCCCGCGGCGGGAGGGGCCATCACGTGGTCGCGCGCCCAGGCCACCGGGAGCACCCCCAGCTGGGACTGTTCTGTGGGCCCCGACGGTGTCACCTACTGGGGCAGTGACCTCGGCGGGGAGCCGCGCACGGACTGTGCCATTTCGTGGGGCGGGCCCGAGGGCCCGGACTGTACCACCTCCTGGAATCCGGGGCTGCGTGCGGATGGCACCACTTCTTTGAAGGGGTACCAGAGCTCAGCTCTCACCCCTTCTTCCGAACCGAGCCTGCAGTCGGACCGTGCCAGTTTGGCTCGTTGCCCCAAAACTAACCACCGAGGTGAGACACCGCTAAGACGGCTGAGAGGGCGAGGCTGGAGCCTTGAGCCCGGACCCAAGGGGGCGGGGCCCGGGAAACTGACAACGGGGGGCGGGGCTTAGGGATAGATACTGGAGGGAGGAGGGGCCGGTGAGCCGCAGTCCCAGGTCCTTGGGGAGGAGAGGACTAAGACAGTCTTCGAGGTCTTGTTAAGAGAGTCTTGTTAGTCTTCTAGGGACCAATGGGATGAGGACCCAGGCTCCTGGATTATATAAAACGAAAGCGATGAAGGCCCAGACTCTGGGTCTCCGAGATGGGGAAGCCAAACTCCTAAATCTCTGACTGGGGGCCCTGGACGCCTGAGTCCCCAAAGCTGACTATTGGTTCCCTATATAGGGAGATCTGAACTCGTGGATCCCAGAGAAGGGGGAATCAGGACTCCTGTGTCTCGCGTTGGGAGGACCCAGACCTCTAGATATTTAAAGGGGTGTGATCTAGGGCCGGGAAGACTGAGTGTGCCCCTCCCTTCCCCCCACAGGTCCCATTCAGCTGTGGCAGTTCCTCCTGGAGCTGCTCCACGACGGGGCGCGTAGCGGCTGCATCCGTTGGACAGGCAACAGCCGCGAGTTCCAGCTGTGCGACCCCAAAGAGGTGGGGCAGCTCTCCTGCCCAGCCAAGTCTTGCCCCGTCTCCTCTAGTTCAGTTGAGCCCCGCCCAAGGGCTAGGTTCAATTGCCTAGACCTTGGCCCCGCCCAACCCTTGTCAAACCCAGTCTCCCGCCTGGACTCTCGCCACTACCAACCCAGTTCCCACCAGTCGGCGGGGCCTCCTCCAGGTCTGCACTGCCCACCGCCCCCAGGCCCGCCCCGCCTCACTATCGCCAAGCCCCGCCCCTTCCCTCTCCTACCAAGCCCTGCCTCTGTCCTAGGTGGCTCGGCTGTGGGGCGAGCGCAAGAGAAAGCCCGGCATGAATTACGAGAAGCTGAGCCGAGGTCTGCGCTACTACTACCGTCGCGACATCGTGCGCAAGAGCGGGGGGCGCAAGTACACGTACCGCTTCGGGGGCCGAGTGCCCAGCCTAGCCTATCCGGACTGTGCGGGGGGCGGACAGAGAGCAGAGACCCAATAAAAATTCCCGATCAAACCTCGTGGCGCGTGCTCGTCTGCTGCGTTCTTCCCCGCTGACACTGACTACACCTGCTAGGGAGCCTAAGTGTGCAGCTCCGCATGTTGGAATCTGGCCTCCCCACCTCGGCGTCTAGGCCTTCATTTCTTTACTCTCACATAATCCGGGAGCCTGGGTCCTTGCTCCCTAAAAGACTGCAGTGTCTTTCTCCTCTCCTCCCCGAAGACCCTGGAGTGCGGGCCACCAATCCCAAGTCTCAAGCCCCTAAGTCCCTAAGCCCCGCTCCTCGCTGTCAGTTTCCAGCGGCCCGCCCCCTTAGGCCCCGCCTCTCGACTCCGCCTTCACTCCCTCCTCAGTCTTCGCAGACCTTAGTTTTGGGGTAAGGAACCACCCGCCTCCAGTGCTGGGCAATGACCAAAGGAGACCCAGATTAGGGAGCCTGCCATGTGCCCGCCCTGTGGTGGGAAAGGCAAAGAAACTAAATCCAAAGCCCATGGGGCCTATTGTGTGCCTGCCCTGTGTCGGGACTTGTAGAGGAATCAGACCCAATCATGAAAGTGTATCTGTGTTGTATCCCCTTTAAGAGAAGACTCAGACTCCGAAAAGGGCCTATTCTGTGTCCTCTCAGTGCTAGGGATGGTCAAGGAATTAAATCTAGTGCTTGCACCCCAATACCACCCACTCTTTCCCCACTTCAAGCCAGACACAGAACTCAGACCTACTCTCTAAAGAGAGCCTGCGCCATTCTGAGAGTCACTGAGTCCCTAAAGATAGCCTGCTGTGTGGTCCTCCTGTGGGAGATGCTGGGGATACAGCAGGGACCAAGACAGTCCTGGACTCTCCCCTCAGGGAGCTCACAGTCTGGTGAGAAGACACACCCATCACCAGAGTGTTTTGAGCTGGGATGAGAAGACTCCAGGGGATTGAAGGAGGCCAAAAGGAAGGACCTGACCTAGCCCTGGAACAGGAGACAGCTGATTTGAGAAGTCAGATAGGCAAAGAATGTTTCAGGCAGAAGGAACAAGAGCAAAGGCCCAGAGGTGGACGATCTCACACCACTGCTAAAAACTATCAATGTGGGCCAGGCATAGTGGCTCACACCTGTAATCACAGCATTTTGGGAGGTTGAAGCAGCACAATGGCTTGAGGCCAGGAGTTGTAGACAAGCCTGAGCAACATGGAAAAACCCTGTCTCTACTAAAAATACAAAACTTAGCTGGGTGTGGTGGCGCATGACTATAATCCCAGTTACTGGGGAGACCAAAGCAGGAGAATCGCTTGAACCTAGAAGGTGGAGGTTGTAGTGAGCCGAGATTGTGCCACTGCACTCCAGCCTGGGCAACAGAGCGAGATTCAGTCCAAAAAGAAAGAAAGAAAATAAAGGAAAGAAGAGAAAGAAGAAAAAAGGAAGAAAGGGAGGAAGAAAAGAAAGAAAGAAAAAATTATGTAGATCATTTATTAGGACATTGGCTTTAGACTAAGAGTCAGACCAGTATTCCTCTGGCGGGGTGGGCATATTGCAGAAGGCAGCTGGAAGCCAGGAGGCCAGGGAGTGTGCTACTGCAACAGTCCAGTCTGAAGGTGATGGTGGCTTGAACCAAATGGGCTAGAGGAAGATATGGATATACTTGCAGGAAAAACCAACAGGATTTCTAGGTCAGCTATCCGGTATGAGAAGGATCAGAGAGTCAAGGACTATTCTGTGGCCAGAAGCACAGAGTTAGTCATTTTCCCAAAGGGAACCATTTCTGCCAGACCCTTCGTAGATCCAAGCTTTTTTTTTGGGGGGGGGGAGACAGGCTGGGGATTTCCAGCTGTCTGGAATCCCCTCCCACATAGTAGGAGCTCTCTTTCCCCCTCCTGGATTTCCCTTCCACACTCTTCGTGGAAGTTTTCTCTCTTCTTTTTTCTCTTTTCTCTCCTTGAATAAAATCACCTTTCTGCAACAACAACAAAAGAGACAGGCTGGTCAGGAGTTCGAGACCAGCTGGACCCACGTGGTGAAACCCCGTCTCTACTAAAAAATACAAAAATTAGCCGAGCGTGGTGGTGGGCACCTGTAGTCCCAGCTATTCGGGAGGCTGAGGTGGAGAATCGCTTGAAGCCGGGAGGCGGAGGTTGCAGTGAGCCGAGTTCGCACCACTGCCCTCCAGCCTGGGCCACAGACTAAGACCCTGTCATAAAATTAAAAAAAAAAAAAAAAAGAATTCCGAGTCACGGCACCAAAAAAAAAGAAATTTTTTAAAAAGAAAAGAAGTACCTGACGCAGAAAAGCGTTCAATAAATAATTATTGCATGAATTAAAGTACTTTTGCTGAGACATTTTTCCCCACACCGACCCTCCAGCGCATCCCGGGATCTGCAACGCATTCTCCGAGTGAAGACCCGGAGGTGATAAACACCTGGGCGTCCGAGCCCCAGCCGCGCAAGCTCACGACTGGGCCAGGAGTGATAATAAACAAGCATTCAGCCCAATAGAAAGTCGTAGTTCTCTTGCTGGGCGTGACCTGAATGGCGTCGTTGGCCACCTCCTGGGCGGGAGCTCTAGCCGTCCGGAAGACTCCCCTATACCCCATCTCGCTCAGCTTCCGGCTGGCCTTAGTTCCGGTTCCTGTCCGACTCTGGAGTCTTTGCAGAGGGTCACATTGAGCTGCAAGGTGCATCGGGGGTGCTTTTAGGTGAGTGTGAAGGGTTCTGGAACCTGGAACCCCAGCCTAACGGGCTGAGGATCTGAACCCTAGCTTCCCCGAGAACGGGTTGAGGCTTCTGGCTGGCGGCGTCCAGCCTCCCTGGGCCCCGGGACCCTGTTGTTCTGTTCTTCGTAAGAACTAACAGTGATATAACAGGAGTTCTTCCTTGATGCAAGGCAACATCCCAAACAACTTAAATTATTCATTTAACTCTCCCACCAGAGAGTTCTAAGACAGGCCTGGGATCATCCCCTTTTGACAGTAAACAGGTTTGGAGATACCAAGGGACCTAGCCGAGCCTACACGCGACCAGGATTTGGCCCAGGAGTTTGTCCTCCAGGGTTCATCGCAAATTCAGGGGCGTGGCCTCCCGCGGCTTACCTGGGCTGCAGCCTGACTCCCTGGTGTTCTGTCAATCCTCCCTTTTGGACGTGGGAGGGGCCGCAGCGTCACCTCCGAAGCACCCTCATCCTCAGATACCGGCTCGAGATATCGCCGGTAACCATCCTTCTGATTGCATCTGTGCCCCAGCGGTGGTGTTTTACATACACCCCACCTCCCCATCGAAAGACCGTTTTAGTGCTCCAGACCCCCACCACCACTTTGCATCGCTTGAATTTGACGCTGCTCTGCAGGTTTCTGTATAGCCCCACGACTCCTGGGATTCCCTCGAATATAGACACTTTCAGGTTCCCGACGAACATTATGTGTCACTTCTTCAGAGACATTATATTAAAGATTTTTAACCCTCGGTCTGCAGAGTTGGAAGAATTCCAGGAATGTATTTGAATTGGGGTGACTGTGTGGAATTACCCCAGTATTTGAATTGGGGTGAGGGGGTGGAATTCTATCTGTGTATTAACCTTTTGAGGCAACAACCTCGTTAGTACTAGCAGCAGCTGTGATTTTGTTAGCAATCAAAACCATAGATATTTTTTTCTCCTTTTTTGAGAAGGTCTCTGTGTACCCAGGCTGGCATGCAGTGGAGAAATCTTGGCTCACCGTAACCTCTGCATCCCCGTGCAAACGATCCTACCTCAGTAGCTGGGACCACAGGCATGCGCCACCACACCTGGCTAATTTTACTATTTTTTTGTAGAGATGGGGTTTCACAAGCTGGTCTTGAACTCCTGCGCTCAAGTGATACTCCTACCTCAGCGTCCCAAAGTGTTGGGATTGTAGGTGTGAGCCACAGTGCCCCACCTAAAATCACAGATATTCTTATATCACATTATAAATGCAGATGTCACAAAATACTATATCCACTCATGGTTACTTGAGTGAGGTTGCAGGGGGTCTTGCTCTGTCACCCAGACTGGAGTGCAATGGTGTAATCTCAGCTCACTGCAACCTCCACCTCCTAGGTTCAAGCGATTTTCCTGCCTCAGCCTCCCAAATAGCTGGGATTACAGGCACCCACCACCACACCTGGCTAATTTTTGTATTTTTAGTAGAGACAGGATTTCACCATGTTGGCCGGTCTGGTCTTGAACTCTTGATCTTAGGTGATCCACCTGGTTTGGCCTCCCAAAGTGTTACGATTATAGGCATGAGCCACCGCACCTGGCCAGAATTGTATTTCTTAATGAATCCTCAGCTGGATATAACTGGTTTTCTTTGTGATACTATTCCAGTTTTTTGTTTTTTTTTTTTAACTTCTTCATGTACTCATGGAACCTATGCAATGTTGTAATACATTTAAACATATTCAGGCCAGGTTTGGTGGCTCGCGCCTGTAATCCCAGCACTTTGGGAGGCCAAGGTGGGTGGATCATCTCAGGTCAGAAGTTCGAGACCAGTCTGACCAACATGGTGAAACCTCGTCTCTACTCAAATGCAAAAAAAGTAGCTGGGTGTGGTGGTGGGCACCTGTAATCTCAGCTATTCAGGAGGCTGCGGCAACAGAATTGCTTGAACCTGGGAGGCAAAGGTTGCAGTGAGCCTAGATCGCATCACTGCACTCCAGCCTGGGCAACAGAACAAGGGTCTGTCTCAAAAAAAAAAAAAAACATATTCAGTGAGAGGTTTATGGGATTCGTGAGACCACTGAGGAGTCTGTGGCACCAAAAAGATTAAGAACCTTTGCAGTGTAGATTATGCCAAAAATGGAGGTAGCCCACCATTTATTTTTATGCCAGATAACCTTAGGAAGTCACTTAGACACCCTGTTCCTTCCTCGTCTGGGCAGTGGTGATAGTAATAGTTCCTACGTTCCTACTTTTAGAGCAGCCGTAGGAGTCAGGTGTGTAGAACAGCACCTGGCATGTAGTAAGCATTCAGTGTTAGCTCATGTTATTTGGGAACCAGGCTTGATTTTGCTGAGGAGTCGCACCCTAATGCTGCCACAACTTCCACGCACAGATGTGTGGAGCGCCCTGCCCCTCATCTCTGCATATATGTTGAGAGGCAGGAACTTGTTCACACCCCCACCATTCTTCAGTGCCTCCTCTCTTCCATTGATCCTGGGTAGTCTGACTTGCTCGGGGCCCCTGCCAACACCCACTCCTTTCATCTCCAGGATTCAGCACCATGGCAGAAGAGATGAAGGCCAAACTTAAGAACTACAAGACTGCCCCTTTTGACAGCCGCTTTCCCAACCAGAACCAGACCAGGAACTGCTGGCAGAACTACCTGGGTAAGCAGGACCTTTCCCTGGCCCCACACCTCTAGTCACTCACCTCTTGCCTCTTCCTAGGGGACCCATCCATCCCAGCATCCTCCCTTTTCTTCTGGACATCCTTCCTCTAGGGGACCCATGCTTCTTATCACTTGCTCTTCAGGTCCAGGCTTGGGTTACAAACTTTGGTTCCTGCAATGACTTTTTTTAATTTTAATTTGTTTATTATTATTATGGTTTTATTTTTGTGGTGTATTTTTTTTTTCCCCCAGAGATGGGATCTCACTCTGTCACCTAGGCTGGAGTGCAATGGCACAATCATAGCTCACTGCAGCCTAATCTCCTGGGCTCAAGAGGTTGTCCTGCCTCAGCCTCTTGAGTAGCTGGGACCACGGACCCACACTACTGCATTTGGCTAATTTTTTTTTTAGAGAAGAGGTCTCATTCTGTTGCCCAGGCTGGTCTCAAACTCTTGGCTTCAAGCGATCTTCCTGCCTCAGCTTCCCAAAGTGTTGGGATTACAAGCGTGAGCCACTGTGCCTGACCCCTACAATGATTTTTTTTTAATGTGTATGTGTGTGCCTAATGTAACATGTACAGAAAGTACATAAAAAACATGTACAGCTGAATAATTCCAAAGAGAACCCCTTGTGCACCCATAACCTGGGTAGAAAAGTAAACATCACCCACACTCTCCTCTCCTCTACCTTGCCTTCCTTATGCCCTGTCTGGAACACAACACTATGCACTCCCCAGTAGAGAAGTAACTCTACTAATAGGGGTGATCACATCCTTGTTTTTGCTTTCGTTTTTTTGAGACAGAGTTTTTTTGCTCTTGTTGCCCAGGCTGGAGTGCAATGGCACAATCTCGGCTCACTGCAACCTCTGCCTCCTGGATTCAAGCAATTCTCTGCTTCAGCCTCCCAAGTAGCTGGAATGATTACAGGCACCCACCACCACACCCAGCTAATTTTTTCCTATTTTTAGTAGAGACGGGGTTTTACCATCTTGGCTAGGCTGGTCTTGAACTTCTGACCTCATGATCCACTGCCTCGGCCTCTCAAAGTGCTGGGATTACAGGTGTGAGCCACTGCACCTGGCCTCACATCTTTGTTTTTTACCACCATGTTTATTATTTTACTTTATTTTATGTTTTCTTTTATCCGTGTTATGTTGTTATGTTATTGATGTAGTTTTGTTCTTGTCGTCTAGGCTGGAGTGCAGTGGCACAATCTCAACTCACTGCAGCCTCCGCCTCCCGGGTTCAAGTGATTCTCCTACCTCAGCCTCCCAAGTAGCTGGGATTACAGGCGTGTGCCACCACACCCAGCTAATTTTGTATTTTGTAGTAGAGATGGGGTTTCTCCATATTGGTCAGGGTGGTCTCAAACTCCTGACTTCCAGTGATCTGCCTGCCTTAGCCTCCCAAAGTGCTGGGATTACAGGTGTGAGCCAGCTCACCCGGCCTAGATTATCTACCAGATGATTTGCCTGGCACAGTGGCACATGCCTGTAATCTCAGCACTTTGGGAGGCCGAGGGGGCGGATCACTGGAGGTCAGGAGTTCAAGACCTGGCCAGTGTGGTGAAACCCGGTCTCTACTAAAAATACAAGAGAAATCAGCCAGGTGTGGGGTGGGCACCTGTAGTCCCAGCTACTTGGGAGGCTGAGGCAGGAGAATCGCTTAAACCTGGGAGGCAGAGGTTGCAGTGAGCCAATATCGTGACATTGCACTCCAGCCTGGGCAACAGGAGCAAAGCTCCATCTCAAAAAAAAAAAAAACCACCAGATGGTTCCCTTTTTGCCTTCATTCTTGGGACTCAGCATCCTGGCATCAAGATTATCTTCCCCACTGCTCTTGTCTTGTTTCTGGATTTCCACGATCCCCACACATGCCACTCATCTTTCTCCATCATTCCTGGTGCCAGAAATAAACAGCAGTTCTCTGGGGGGGGGTTGCAATATCAATTTAGTAAGATGTCTAGCCCTTGTTCTTATACTTGTAAAATATGTTTCCTGTCTGCGTGTTATTATTATGTCTGCATAACTGATCATGAAGTAAAAAGTATTTCTCATTGAGTTTTGATCAGAAATGTGTTCCATGGCTGGCACAGTAGCTCACACCTGT